TTTATGTAATGAAGTTTATAGTCCTTGGTTTTAGTCCTAGGTCCATGATCCACCTTGAGTTGGTTTTTGTGTATGGAGTGAGGTGTGGGTTTTGCTTGAGTCTTTTGCAGATATTTTTCCAATTTCATTCTCCCTCCTGTTCTGGATTCATACATATTATGAAGTGTTTTTCAAAATTCTTTTTAGTGTTACATTCATTTGTGAATATATCACAGTGTAATTTTGAAAATTATATGGTTTTATTACAGTATTCATGTATATATCAAGAGTTTGAGAAGGGCATCTTTGCCTTTCAGCTGAAGCAGAAGTTGACTCAAGTTTTTACCTAATCCAGGAAGATGATATAAGAGCATTACATTATGATAGTCAATATTTTTGAGCTAGTGGATGAGTTCAATTCAACCCTGAAGCCTTGTTTAATTCTTTATGATACACTAGATGTTAGTGATTCACTAATTAGGTATTGGCAGTTATTTTGTGTTGATTGTGAAACAAAGCAAGCTGTAATTGTTTACAATCTGAATCTCTTCTCCATCTATCATGATGCTGCCAGTTGGCACAGTGGCCGGAATATTTTTTTCTTTTTTTTTAAATTTTTTATTATTTGTGTGTATGTGTGTTATACCGTCAAATCAGATTTGACTGGTACAGGAGGAGATTGTTCCTCCTTCTCCCGCAAAGCATTTGGTGAATTTGAACCGCACATCTCTGGGATTACAGTGCAGCTTCTTGCCACTGGGCCACCAAAGCTCGCCATGTTTTCTTAATATTGAGCTTTAGTCCACATTGGAGACTGCAGTCCTTGACCTTCTGCAGCAGACATCTCAGGTCCTCCTCAGTAGCAAGCAAGGTTGTGTCATCTGCATAATGCAGGTTGTTGATGAGTTTTCCTCCAATCCTGATGCTACATTCTTCCTCATAAAGTCCAGCCTCCCAAATTATCTGTTCTGCATATAGACTGAAAAGGTGTGGAGATAGGATGCATCCCTGATGCACACCTTTCCTGATCCTGAATTATGTGGTGTTTCCCTGCTCTGTTCTGACTGCTGCTTCCTGGTTCAAGTATAGGTTTCACAGAAGCAAAATTAAGTGTTCTGAGATTCCCATTCTTCCCAAGTGTAGCCACAATTTGTTGTGATCCACACAGTCTTTGCATAGTCAATGAAACATGATTCCTCTGGTACTCTCTGCTTTTGGCTAAGATCAAATTAATGTTAGCTATAATGTCCCTAGTGGCAATACTTATAGAAAGACTTCAGGTCTTTTGTTCATAGGGTCATTATGGGTCGTCATCAACTCGATGGCAATTAACAACAACAACAACGTCCCTAGTGCCACACAGCTTGCACAGCTTGTACATCTGGCAGTACTCTGTTAATGTACTGTTCCAGTTGTTTTTGGATAATCTTCAGCAGGATTTTACTTGCTATAGTAGTCATGCTATTGTTTGATAAGTTCCATACACTGTTGGATCGCCTTTTTTTTTTTTAAGGACTAAATACAGATCTCCTCCTGTCAGTTGGTCAGGTAGTTGTCCTTCAGATTTCTTGGCACAACTGGCTGAACATGTCTGGGGCAGCATCTGTTTGTTGAAATATACCAATTGGTATGCCATCAATTCCTGGGGCTTTGTTTTTTGACAATTTTTTCAGAGCAGCTCAAACTTCCTTCATCAACATTGCCTCTTGATCATATCTTGTTTCATTAAATTCTTCCATGTCCGTCTTGGCCCTAGCAGTCAGGAAATCAAAAGACAAACTGCACCGAGAAAGTCATCTGTAAACGACCTGTTTAGAGTACTGAAGAACAGTGATGTCAGCCTCGAGACTTAAGGTGCACCTGATCCAGGCCATGGTCTTTGTAGTTGCTTGCTATGCATCAGAGAGCTGAATAGTAAAAATAACAGAAAAAGAGGAAAAAATAACAGAAAAAACAGACTAAAAATAACAGAAAAAAGAATCAATGTCTTTGAGTTTTGGTGCTGGAGAGTATTGAACATACTGTGGGCTACCAAGAGAAAAAACAGGTCTGTCCTAGAGAGGGTGAAATCTTTGGAGGCTAGGATTTTGAAGGTCTGTCTCACGTACTTAGGGCACGTGACTAGGAGGGACCAGTCCTTGGCGCATAATGCTTGGAAGAGTAGAGGGGGAATGCAGAAGAGGAAGACTCTGGATGAGAAGAGTTGACTCAGTGACTAGGTTAATGGGATTAGTGTGTCAGAGACTATGAAATTGGCTCAGAATAGGGTAGGGTTCAGAGCTATTGTACATAGGGTTGCTATGAGTCACAGGCAACTTGACTTCACATAACAACTGGTATTTTGTGGTGGCCAAATGGTCAGAAGTTACACTGCAAATCTAAGGTATGTAGCTTGAACC